GTATGACAAGCTTGATATTGTGCGGGTCCTCTGGGAGCGAGTGAACTTTGCGTAGACACAGATGATCGTTACTGTCTGAGGAGCGGACGCTGCGAGGAGTTACCCGGGTGGTCTGGCACGCGCTGAACACAAAAGGGAAAGACCGGATGAATTTATGAGACAATGAGACAGCTACTGATACTATTGGAATTGGAACTCTTCTCTTGCTGCTGGTGAGGGAGACACCATCTAGAGGAGCATAAACCAGGGAGACACCATCTACAGGAGCATAAACGAGGGAGACACCATCTAGAGGAGCATAAACCCTCAACTCACTCACGCCCAGAGCCCTAACTATCATTTACTATTGCTCATCCCAGCTACTCCCTAACAGTTTAACTTTACTTTCTAGCTCCCTTTTCTGCCTGTTTGTGTTCTGTCTTTAACTTCATGCTTCTATGAGTTCGAGTGTAAAGACATTCTATTGGTTTTTTTTTCGTTTTTCCAGCGTGTGACCTATCCAACGCCAGCATCTTTTCTACCCATTTTGATTCAGTGGAATGTTTTTTTAGTTCCCTCCCAAAGTTCCGCATCATTGATTTTGCCATATCACTCAATGTGCCCTTTTCTGCGCAGGCACCAGTTATTGAATGTCTGTAGTAACCAGTATCTGTGTTAGCCGTTCTTCCTTTTTCAAGTGCATACAACGCCACTAAAGATGACCCTCAGAGTTATATTTGTTAAGTTTGGTAATAGTTTTTTTTAATTTCCCTTGACTGTCACAGATTTCCCAGTCATATTGAAACAACCCTTGTTTTTTTATTTATATGTTAATATCTCTATCAGTTCCCACATCTGTATGTACAGTACTGGGTAAACAGGAACACGACTGCACATCTTATAGTGGAACATCACCAAGAGCAATCGATTAAAAAAAAATCCTATTCTATGTGTCTTTTCCTAGAGATAGTTATATACTCGTATTTCTGTTGTAATGTATACTAATCATTTGGATACTTTCTCGCAGCCTCCAACGTCCATGGAAGTGCACAATACGAGTGAGGACAGTCTAACGCCGAGGAGAAGTGCTGACATGACACTGATAGAGGGACAGAGCGGAGACAGTGAACTGGAAGACAGCTTCTATGCTGACAATTTCAACAACAGTCGGGCATGTCTCATAATGGAACCAGCTCATGGAAAAGGGAAAATGAATGTTCGTGAGCCTAGCACTAACCCTGCTGTTGTCTGTGCTCCAGGACCAGTGACTGGCAACATCCCGCAGTTTGAGAGTACACGGCAGGTTCAACCAAGTACAACGTCAGCTGAACCAGCTCAGGCAAAAACACGCACTGGAGGAGAATGCAGCCCAGGAGAAAGGGCTGAACTGTGTCTTCATTTGGCAGAATGCTCACAGGAATCGCCAGCAATGTCCAGGTCATGCCTGCCTCTAGCTGACTACAGAACTATGATATAGATCATGTTATCTGCCCCTAGCTGACTACAGCACTATGATATAGATCAGGTTATCTGCCCCTAGCTGACTACAGCACTATGATATAGATCAGGCTGTCAGGTAACCGCAATGTCAACTTAATAACAAATGGGTCACCCCATAGCTGCCCCGCTCCTATGCCAACGAAAACCACACAAAATGTCCATTACTGTCCCTGGTGGAAACATTTAACACAAACTGCAGTCTCAGGATATCCAGTAGCTTACATACGCATTCAATACATAAGGCAGCCGTCAGAAGTGCTAACACAAACAGTCCAACACTAGTAATGTAACTCATATTGACGAAAGCAGCAGTTACAACAGATCAGTAGTTGCACTGGTGATCAACTACATAAGTCACTACTAGTTAGTTCTGTGGCTACAGGTTACTTGCCATTTTCTGGATGTACAGTTCACATCAAAAACGACGCTGATCACTGCAAATGTTCACCTAAGTAGCTGGACGACGGAACTACATCTTTCCAGTCCACATTGGGGGGAAATGATATCATACAAAACAATTACCAAAGATATTTGTATAGGCCCCTAGGCAGTCGGTAGGTGCTGTGGTCTCCATGGTGATGGGGTCAATCGCTACACGTGGAAAGACGTGACGTGAACTCAAGAGGCAGCCCTAGTAGAGAATGGATTGATGACATTAAAACGCTTCTGCATCAGAATTAAATGACAATAGCCACTGCTGCCTATCAAGCAATGGATCGCAAACAGTTCCTCTGCAAAATGCTTATCGGCGGAAGAAAATGTTGATGATGATGATGCTCTAAAGCTGGGTCCGTTTAGGAAAGTCTTCCCACTCCCCCCTCACATTCTCACCTTAAAGGTGACTCCAAGGAATGTTGACTGTGTCAGCAGTCATGAATGCTTGCCAACTACCATCTTTAGTTGTCCCTTTATCACTACTTGATCAGAGAAGGTAGGTCGTTTGTTGCGTGCACGGCAGACAGGCATGCCGACAGGCAGACAGACAGAAACATTACGTAATCAGTTCTCACACCCAAAAAATACAACAGTAAGTTTAAATCGAGACCAGACAATGCTAAGAATAGACACGATGATAAACATAGAACTCTCAGCTATATGTGGATACTGACATTTACATGTGTGTGATCTTTGTGATCTTTTGTGATGTTTCAGTGAAGGTCATGTCTGGAATAGAATAATCTCTGATATAAGTGATACAACGGCGTGACGGTGGGTCCGGGGGGGGGGGGTGTTGGAGAGCTACAGGGGGGGGGGGTGTTGGAGAGCTACAGGGGGGGGGGTGTTGGAGAGCTACAGGGGGAGGGGGTGTTGGAGAGCTACAGGGGGGGGGAGGGGGTGTTGGAGAGCTACAGGGGGAGGGGGTGTTGGAGAGCTACAGGGGGAGAGGGGGTGTTGGAGAGCTACAGGGGAGATAGGGGGGGGGGTTGGAGAGCTACAGGGGGAGGGGGTGTTGGAGAGCTACAGGGGGAGGGGGGGTTGGAGATCTACAGGGGGAGGGACAGCCAAGAGGAAATACGATAGGTAGCATGCTTCAAAGTGAGTGAGTTAGAGCATGGGGGAGGAGTGGAGAGGAAATATGCGGAAGCGAGAGACAGAATGAAAGCGAATGAGAGATCAAAAGATAGAGATAAGTGAGAGAGAGAGAGATCAGAAGTGAGAGAGAGAGAGAGATCGGAAGTGTTAGAGAGAGAGATCGGAAGTGAGAGAGAGATCAAAAGTGGGAGAGAGAGAGAGAGAGATCGGAAGTGAGAGAAAGAGAGAGAGATCGGAAGTGAGAGAGAGAAATCGGAAGTGAGAGAGAGAGAGATCGGAAGTGGGAGAGAGATTGGAAGTGGGAGAGAGAGATCGGAAGTGAGAGAGAGGAAGTGGGAGAGAGAGATCGGAAGTGTGAGAGAGAGAGAGAGAGAGAGAGAGAGAGAGAGAGAGAGAGAGAGAGAGAGAGATCGGAAGTGAGAGAGAGAGATCGGAAGTGGGAGAGAGAGATCGGAAGTGACACTCAAACATATAGCATTGAGGACACTCAAACATACAGCATTGAGGACACTCAAACATACAGCATTGAGGACACTCAAACATACAGCATTGAGGACACTCAAACATACAGCATTGAGGACACTCAAACATACAGCATTGAGGACACTCAAACATACAGCATTGAGGACACTCAAACATACAGCATTGAGGACACTCAAACATACAGCATTGAGGACACTCAAACATAGGACAGCATTGAGGACACTCAACATACAGCATTGAGGACACTCAAACATACAGCATTGAGGACACTCAAACATACAGCATTGAGGACACTCAAACATACAGCATTGAGGACACTCAAACATACAGCATTGAGGACACTCAAACATACAGCATTGAGGACACATTAACATATAGCATTGAGGACACTCAAACATACAGCATTGAGGACACTCAAACATACAGCATTGAGGACACTCAAACATACAGCATTGAGGACACTCAAACATACAGCATTGAGGACACTCAAACATACAGCATTGAGGACACTCAAACATACAGCATTGAGGACACACAAACATACAGCATTGAGGACATTCAAACATACAGCATTGAGGACACTCAAACATACAGCATTGAGGACACTCAAACATACAGCATTGAGGACACTCAAACATACAGCATTGAGGACACTCAAACATACAGCATTGAGGACACTCAAACATACAGCATTGAGGACACTCAAACATACAGCATTGAGGACACTCAAACATACAGCATTGAGGACACATAAACATACAGCATTGAGGACACTCAAACATACAGCATTTAGGACACTCAAACATATAGCATTGAGGACACTCAAACATATAGCATTGAGGACACTCAAACATATAGCATACAGCATTGAGAGACACTCAAACATACAGCATTGAGGACACTCAACATACAGCATTGAGGACACTCAAACATACAGCATTGAGGACACTCAAACATACAGCATTGAGGACACTCAACATACATACAGGGACACTTGAGGACACTCAAACATACAGCATTGAGGACACTCAAACATACAGCATTGAGGACACTCAAAAACATACAGCATTGAGGACACTCAAACATACAGCATTGAGGACACTCAAACATACAGCATTGAGGACACTCAAACATACAGCATTGAGGACACTCAAACATACAGCAGGACACTTGAGGACACTCAAACATACAGCATTGAGGACACTCAAACATACAGCATTGAGGACACTCAAAACATACAGCATTGAGGACACTCAAACATACAGCATTGAGGACACTCAAACATACAGCATTGAGGACACTCAAACATACAGCATTGAGGACACTCAAACATACAGCATTGAGGACACTCAAACATACAGCATTGAGGACACTCAAACATACAGCATTGAGGACACTCAAACATACAGCATTGAGGACACTCAAACATACAGCATTGAGGACACTCAAACATACAGCATTGAGGACACTCAAACATACAGCATTGAGGACACATAAACATACAGCATTGAGGACACTCAAACATACAGCATTGAGGACACTCAAACATACAGCATTGAGGACACTCAAACATACAGCATTGAGGACACTCAAACATACAGCATTGAGGACACTCAAACATACAGCATTGAGGACACTCAAACATACAGCATTGAGGACACATAAACATACAGCATTGAGGACACTCAAAGAACATACAGCAGGAGGACACTCAAACATACAGCATTGAGGACAAACATACAGCATGAGGACACTCAAACATACAGCATTGAGGACACTCAAACATACAGCATTGAGGACACTCAAACATACAGCATTGAGGACATTCAAACATACAGCATTGAGGACACATAAACATACAGCATTGAGGACATTCAAACATACAGCATTGAGGACACTCAAACATACAGCATTGAGGACACTCAAACATACAGCATTGAGGACACTCAAACATACAGCATTTGAGACCCCGTCCAGCATGTACTGTAAACAATCTAACGTTAGAAAGCAAACATGCCTGAGGGAAGAAGTAACATTGGAAGCGAACCCTACTCATTGACGATCTAAACATAGTAACATAGTCTAAAATTAGTGTTTGAATCTGACAAATTACCGACTAATCGATAGGCAGCTGTGTGAGCGGTGAACTTTGCATGGACAGAAATAAACTGCAGTTTCTATAAATAGAGCCATCGTCTCAAAGGACAGTTGTTCCACTGTTACCGGACAAATATGATTGAGATTTTATCGATCTCCCGTGAACTTAGCACAAAACCAATCAACTAATTACTTAAATATCAGCCCCTTTTTTTTTCTGTTTCCGGTATAAACGGATGATATTTCATTCATGTATTTCCTGGTGTATTTTTCTTTTCTCTCAAGTGAAACGTTGATTTTTATAAGGGGGTGACATTTTGAGCCCACAGATGTATGTGTATTACTCCACAATTCATGGTTATCGCACATACCATGCGAACACCTGTATCCAGGTAATGGAAGGACAGATGTAAAGTGTATACAACCTGAAGTCTATATTTGTTAGGTAATATGATTTGATGCATTGAGCACTGGAAGAAATCTAGGATTTAACCATATTACTGATTGCTCATACACATATCGATTCGGCCCGTAGCTTAAAGTTCATTACTCTCTCTCTCTCTCTCTCTCTTTCTCTCTCTCTCTCTCTCTCTCTCTCTCTCTTTCTCTCTCTCTCTCTCTTCTCTCTCTCTCTTTTCTCTCTTCTCTCTCTCTCTTCTCTCGCTCTCTTTCTCTCTCTGTCTTCATTCTCTCGCTCTCTTCTCTTGCTCTCTTCTCTCTCTCTTCTCTCTTTCTCTCTCTCTCTCTCTCTCTCTCTCTCTCTCTTTCTTATCTCTCTCTCTCTCCTCTTACATAAATATATATTATGTGTGTGCATCCATCCATCTACCTATAGAGGATCTATATTGATCTATGTAAATTATCTATCTGTTTATTCGCTCTTTATGCGTGTGTCTTTCTGTCTATCTATCTATCTATGTCTAGAAGAAGGGCTAGAAGGAGGTAGGGTTAAAAAAGTAGGAGAATATTAACAGACAGCATTACAAACGAAACGTGTTCAAATTATGTAACAGGGACGTGGTAAGAACAAAACAGCGACACAAACAAAACACTTGAAATAACAGAATTATTGATCCAATCCAAGTGACAGATTTATGACAATATCCATAAATCCCCTGGATTGAATCTGGGCTATAAATATGCCATCTTTTGTTTTGTCGTCAGAAACGTTTGTCAACATGTCCTGATATTTCTCTGACTGAAAGCAAATAAGCGCGGCTTTCAGAAATATTTATTACATTTTATAATGACAATTAGGGTTATGGAGTATTAGGGGTCTGCGGGCACAGTTAGGTCCGTCAAGGGCAAGGGGTCATGATCCATCTGGGAGCAAAGTCACGCTTGGTTCTGTTTTAGTTAATGATAATATTTTGTGTTTCGGCTGTAAACTGTTTATCAAATGTGTTTCCGTGTAGGTATGTGTTTGAGTCTGTTCCACCGCCTCTCTTGTCGTGTTTGAGTCTGTTCCAACACATGTCTTGTTTTGTTTGAGTCTTTCACCTCCTCCCTTGGTGTGTTTGAGTCTCTTCCACTGCCTCTCTTGTCGTGTTTGAGTCTGTTCCAACACATGTCTTGTTTTGTTTGAGTCTTTCACCTCCTCCCTTGGTGTGTTTGAGTCTCTTCCACTGCCTCTCTTGCTGTGTCTGAGTCTCTTCCACTGCCTCTCTTGCTGTGGCTGAGTCTCTTTCACTGCCTCTCTTGTTTGACTGCCTTGTGTATGACTGTGTTGCACTGTTTTTTTTTTTTTTTTTTTTTTGAGGTTTGAAATCGTCATCCACACATTTTTATATTCTTTTCATTCTGTGAATAGTTTCATAATTTAACGTAAAATGTTTGAGATATAAAATAAAGTTGCCACCACTTCCCCGGAACTGCTACTATCTGTTTGTGCCGGTCACTCTCGTCTACATTGTATTCTATTGTTAACTATTGCTGGTGCAATTTGTTTTATATTTGTTTAATGATTTTAAAATCTATATGTGTGTTGAAAAAGGCTCTATTGCCGCGACGTTCACGTTTTGTTTGTTTTTGTTATATTGTGAAGCTCGCCCATATATTTGAAAGGCCCGAGTTTTAAACAGGCCTGTGTGCCCAATTTGTCCCCTTTTGGAAATTCGTGAAAAAGGTTGTAAACTGTTCACCATGTGTAAAATCTGGAGGAAATTGTTGGTTGTTCGTCCATTTCTGAACTCTGGTCTTGTTTCCGAACCAGAGTTTTGCGTGCTCATCCATTTTACAGATGTGACTTATCTGTATGCAGACTATTGATTCTTCGCGTCTCAGGCAGACAAACTACGACTTCGAAGGAAACAGCTCTACTTACTGGACTTGAACCACATGCTTGTTAGGGAGGGGACTGACAGTCTATTCCCCCCTCCCCCCCCCCCCAAACTCACACAAAGAAGTTGATATTGCTGCACTGGAGACTGACAGTCTATTCTCTCCCCCCCCCCCACCCCCCTAACCCACACAAAGAAGTTGATATTGCTGCACTGGAGACTGACAGTCTATTCTCCCCCCCCCCCCCCCCTAACCCACACAAAGAAGTTGATATTGCTGCACTGGGACTGACAGTCTATTCTCTCCCCCCCCCCCCCCTAACCCACACAAAGAAGTTGATATTGCTGCACTGGAGACTGACAGTCTATTCTCCCCCCCCCCCCCTAACCCACACAAAGAAGTTGATATTGCTGCACTGGAGACTGACAGTCTATTCTCTCCCCCCCCCCTAACCCACACAAAGAAGTTGATATTGCTGCACTGGAGACTGACAGTCTATTATCTCCCCCCCCCCCCATCCCCCCTAACCCACACAAAGAAGTTGATATTGCTGCACTGGTGACTGACAGTCTATTCTCTTCCCCCCCCCTAACCCACACAAAGAAGTTGATATTGCTGCACTGGTGACTGACAGTCTATTCTCTCCCCCCATCCCCCCCCCCCCCCCCCCCTAACTCACACAAAGAAGTTGATATTGCTGCACTGGAGACTGACAGTCTATTCTCCCCCCCCCCCTAACCCACACAAAGAAGTTGATATTGCTGCACTGGTGACTGACAGTCTATTCTCTCCCCCCATCCCCCCCCCCTAACTCACACAAGAAGTTGATATTGCTGCACTGGGGGACTGACAGTCTATTCTCTCCCCCCCCCCCCTAACTCACACAAAGAAGTTGATATTGCTGCACTGGAGACTGACAGTCTATTCTCTCCCCCCCCCCCCTAACCCACACAAAGAAGTTGATATTGCTGCACTGGAGACTGACAGTCTATTCTCTCCCCCCCCCCCCCCTAACCCACACAAAGAAGTTGATATTGCTGCACTGGAGACTGACAGTCTATTCTCCCCCCCCCCCCTAACCCACACAAAGAAGTTGATATTGCTGCACTGGTGACTGACAGTCTATTCTCTCCCCCCATCCCCCCCCCCCTAACTCACACAAAGAAGTTGATATTGCTGCACTGGAGACTGACAGTCTATTCTCCCCCCCCCCCCCTAACCCACACAAAGAAGTTGATATTGCTGCACTGGTGACTGACAGTCTATTCTCTCCCCCCCATCCCCCCCCCCTAACTCACACAAAGAAGTTGATATTGCTGCACTGGTGACTGACAGTCTATTCTCTCCCCCCATCCCCCCCTAACTCACACAAAGAAGTTGATATTGCTGCACTGGAGACTGACAGTCTATTCCCCCCCCCCCCCTAACCCACACAAAGAAGTTGATATTGCTGCACTGGTGACTGACAGTCTATTCTCTCCCACCATCCCCCCCCCTAACTCACACAAAGAAGTTGATATTGCTGCACTGGAGACTGACAGTCTATTCTCCCCCCCCCCCCCCCTAACCCACACAAAGAAGTTGATATTGCTGCACTGGTGACTGACAGTCTATTCTCTCCCCCCATCCCCCCCCCCCTAACTCACACAAAGAAGTTGATATTGCTGCACTGGTGACTGACAGTCTATTCTCTCCCCCCCCCCATCCCCCTTAACTCACACAAAGAAGTTGATATTGCTGCACTGGAGACTGACAGTCTATTCCCCCCCCCCCCACCCTAACCCACACAAAGAAGTTGATATTGCTGCACTGGTGACTGACAGTCTATTCTCTCCCACCATCCCCCCCCCCCCTAACTCACACAAAGAAGTTGATATTGCTGCACTGGAGACTGACAGTCTATTCTCCCCCCCCCCCTAACCCACACAAAGAAGTTGATATTGCTGCACTGGTGACTGACAGTCTATTCTCTCCCCCCATCCCCCCCCCCTAACTCACACAAAGAAGTTGTTATTGCTGCACTGGGGACTGACAGTCTATTCTCCCCCCCCCCCCCCCCCCCCCCCCCCACCCCTAACCCACACAAAGAAGTTGATATTGCTGCACTGGTGACTGATGCGGCAGAGAAGGAGAATAAAGAGGTCTTGAACTGTTACCATTAGCCACTGCATGTTGAGAGATCTACTGAGGAGGTTATTCCAGCATTGATGGGCTCAATCATTTCATGTGCAATAATGGTGATCTGTCGACTAAATATACTCAGGACTTGAAACATAAAAACAAGAACAACTGGTGATTTCAGAAACTAGTGGGTTTGATATTCTCGAAATATCTTTTTTTTTTTGGGGGGGGGGGGGGGGTGTGACACTTTCGTGTGCAACTGTGCAGGTTATTAACATCCGCCAAGTAGCGATTACGTAGTATATAACAGTTAGCTTTGTAAAGTGCTCTGTTCCATAAGTATTAGTGTTGTCTTT